CTGAGATTGTGGATTTGGGGTTTTCATGAGCTGTAAGCCATAATCATCACAATTATGACAAATCACGGCTTGAACTATCTTGCTTTGCATGTAATGAGTCTATCTCATATATTAGTTTCACCTTTTAAGTTGCATTAGTGAAATAAATGAACTTTTGCACGATATTCTAATTATTCGAGTTTCACCTGTATGTAAGCTGCCTAAGCAGTGCCATGAAGCTACAATAACTAGATGCAGTTAGTAGATATCAGAGTATAATAAACAGCATCTGGCGCCTTGTATGCGGACTAGGGATGCACCAATATGTCGGCCGCCGAAACATATCGGCCATTTTCCTGGCGCATCCATCCTATTCTCTCCTCCCCTCTGGGCGCTGCTCTGTGTCCCAGGGTGTAGGAGAGAAACTGTGATGGCCGAGCGCTGCGGGGGGAGAGCGCTGTGAGCGGCTGGCATCTCATCCCACACGGCTCAGCCTCTTATCACAGTCCGGCAGAGCGGTGTGTGGGCGGAGACAGCCTGCGCTGTCACAGGAGGCTGAGCTCTCCTCCCTACACCGCTCGATCAGCCTCCTGTGACATGAGGTCAAAGAGGAGAGCGAGAGCAAACACTCAGCGATCAGTGATCGCTGTGTGTTTGTAGATAATTGAGGACATTGTATGTGTACTGTGTCCTCAATTATGAATGAATGGGAGTGATCTACATCACCTCCTGTTCATTCATAGTTGTAGTTATAGTAAACATACCATGTCCTCATGTTATGAATGAACAGAAACAATCGTAGAGGATTCCTGTTCATTGATAACAGGGGATACAGAAAAAGAGATTGAGGACTTTGTGTCCTCAATCTCTTTTACTATTTTAAAAAGGAGATATCAGGGGTCTGTTTGGACCCCTAATATTTCCCCGAAGCCCCTAAAAGTAAAGTAAAAAATGTAATAAAAAATGAATTAATCAAAATAAATAAATATAAAAAAATACAATTTATTACAAAAATATATATAGATTTGAAATTAAAAAAAACAACATTATTTTGGTTTTAGAATTACCATTTTGGTGCACCTCTAATGCGGACTTTTTGATAATGTGTCCTGTACGCGCACACACAGAAAAAGGTTCTCTTGTTAGTGTTGAATCTTGGCCAAAGTTTTCCTTCTCCAATGCAGAGCATAACTCCTCGGTATTTAGGTGTGGATGGGGATGGATAATGCTGCAATCAGTTGTGGTCACTTGACAGTGTCTAAAGATATATATCTCTTTAGCAATCCATTGTGCTAATGGCATATTTGCATGAATGTTGAATTGTATTTTTTTTTTTCCCTCCTAGGAATCTGTCTCCGTTCTCAATTTGTTTACCAGGATACGATAAACCATCCTTTTCATCAGTGTTCTGAGCCACTGGTTTCTGAATCCAGTTCTGCGTTCCAACCAAGAAAACAGACTGTTTACTGTGCAGAGCTGAGATTCAACACAAGACTAATAAAGATGAGGAAAAATACACAGCATTATATCTATATACATTATTCAAAGAGTGGTAATGAAACCACTGTTTCCCATATACTGGAGGAGGATAATAGCAACCCTACTGACTGTGTTCTGTAGAGATGTGTTTAAATGTGCATATTGAAAGCAATCATGTACGTCTTCTAATTTCAGATTAACACCTTACAAAAATAATTTGCCATATTTTTAGCTGACAGAAAGTTAAAGCAGAGACGCCACCATGCCAAAATGTTTTGGGACCATACTCTGTTGTGTATAGATGGAAAATACCCATACTGATTTGTCTTGCTTGCATGCAATGGGGTTCACACAATATAAGTACTTCACTAGTACAGCTATACGTGCATATTCTCACCCTAGATTTTTATTTTGTGAATATTTCTGTAGTGCTCATACTGAGGATTGGCGGGTGGGTGGGGATAGTATAGGGATTTGTGTGAATGTTTAAATGAACGTTTGGTTTTTCTCATTGTTACAAAATGTTTAATTCTATGCAGTTTCTAATTCTTTTTATGGTTGATGCTCTGTATTTTAATGTTAATTTAATGTTCTGTTTTGGATCATTCAGAAAAGTCGCCTGGCCTTGTCCTCCTTTTTTGTTGCAGTGTTTTGCACAACAGAGGCATTGTTGGGAAGGAGAACGTGGAATTGCTGAAACAAAGCACTTAATCTTATTGCAATGTCCTCCTCACAGACTATTATGTCCTTAAGTATATGAGGAGGGTGCAGGTTAAAGTGTGTGTCCAGCCAAAAATGGTTTGTTTTTGATAAAGTGAAGAATTGATAGAACTTTGTCTGGTTTTTACTTCCATCCAGGGCTTTGTTGGAGGGATTTTCCCTTTTTATTGTCTGTACCCGTGACAACATTTTTACCAGATGGGAATTGAGTGAAAATCTGCAACAGACACTGATTGAAAAAAAAAAAGGTGATGGGGGTTCTAGCCTTCCCCTATTCTACAAAAAAAAAAAAAAGTTACTATTTTGTCTCTGTTACTGTTGAAGATTTACTTTCACTTCCTACCTGGTGAAATCGTTGTCACCAGAGCAGGAAGTGAGGGGAAATCTAACAGAGCCTCAGAAAGTAGTACAAATCTGACAGGGGTTCCAACTCTTTCGCACTTTATCCAAAGCAGAACATTTTGGCTGGACATACATTTTAAGTGAATATGCGTTGAGAATGTTAAGTCTATAATGAAATTGGAATCCTCTGTTCTCACCAAAAGGTGAAAAATGTTACGGTATATATATTTTTCTTTTTTTTAAAGAAAAAAAATCCCACTTGTAAAAATGTGACTGCGTGTTCATTTGTGTTCTTTGAAAGTATCACTCTGTGGTGACCTTGAACAACCTTTAACTGAATGTTCTGTATAGGTCAATTTCTCTATTTATACAAGGTGATCATATTGCCTTTTAATTAACTATTTTCAAGGGTGAATAAATGCAGTTTAGCGAGTATTCCCTCATAGTTGAGATCTTCCATACACCTTATTAATTGTGCTGCCCTTCTTTGCACTTCATATTCCACGACTTCCTTTTTTTGAACTGGTCCCCAAAACTGAACTGCATGATGTCAAGATGACATCTTACAAATGCTTTATGTACAAACAATGTTCTCTCTCTCTCCAAACCGGCCCCCC